GTTCATGCCTCAGTTATAATGTTTTTTTCCTCATACTTTATTTAAAAAAAAAAACAAAAACCCTGTGATAGCTGCAAATAACCTCTTTCTCTAGTCCCCTAGCAAGGAAAAGCAGTGTTAAATGACTAGTTCAATGGTGTAACCTCCTTTAAAAACATGGGGAAAGAGGAAGGGTGTTGCTGTGTGGAATATTATCCTCTTCTGCTGTACAAACATGTTGCATTGACCATGGCAACTCGGCTGAAGCCAAAGCCCAAACCTTTGTGTCTACGTTCTGTACCACTTCCCTAGAATCAGAACAGTTGCTGGGATTTTGAGATGCTCCAGCCTCACTGCTGAGCCCTGTGAAGGCTCAGCACACTCAACAGGCTGTTCCTTGACACCATGGCATTTGTGCTATTGCTAAATGAATGGTAAATATTCCAACCAGATACTTTGCCAAAGGCATAGCAAGGGACTAAGAAATAAAGATAACAGTAAAACCTATTTTCCCTGGGGTCCTGTTTGCCCTTCCACTTGGTACGACAGACTGATGAATTCTGAGCTGTCATGTGTTCATGAAATATTCGCTCATGTTTTACGTGTGTTTCTCTGATTGTTCTTCATAGCTTTTCCCCCAATGAATCAGGCAGAGGAAAAGTGGGACTGGGGTAAATCCCTCTCTCCCTTTGCTCCTTCCCAGAGCTGGGAGATTACTGCAGCTGCATCCACATCAGCAACTCTCCAAGGTTTTTGCTCCTCATCCTTGAGCAGAGCTTCGGGCCCAGGAAAGAACTGTAAAGGAAAGGTGTAGTGTGCTGCCTTTTAGCTTTCATCTCAGGTGATAGACCACGATTTATTTTCCCTTCCAAATAAAAATTTAGCAGGTTAATTATGCTAAAAAAATTTCAATTTTGGAGCTGGGCATGACCCACATAATGATTATAATTACTGTTACTATTAATTACTATTTTAATTTCTGTAGGACCTACATTTCCAGCTCAGGAGCTCCTGTGCAAGGTGCAATATATCAGCATAATAAAAGGAGACACTCATTGCCTTGAGGAACTACTGGCCTGAGTGAACGAGGAGGAGCGGGACCGGAGCACGACTAGGGTATTTATGTTAACAGCACTGCCCTTCTTGTATCCAGAACGTACTTTCCCGTGGCGTCTCTTCGCCAGTTTGGGCTGCTTTCTGCTGAAAAGTAACAGTTAGAGTAACATTGTGCTTACCATCATCACAGTCAAAATTTCTCTCTTAATTCCCAAGCCTGAATTGTCCTTGATATGAACTCAGAGTTGCCAAATGTCCTTTGCTTTTCAGGCTCTGCAGGAACATAGCTATAGTTTGTGCACTGAGATTCAACTTTTTTTTGTCTTTGGATCATATATTCTTTGGACTTTTCTATGTTTCCGCCCAGTGTAACGTCATATTTCATTCAAATAAAACTCAGCTGGAGTGCCAGAAATCACTTCAATTTCTCTCCACCTTAGGAAAAAAAAAAAAAAAGACTGTGTCTGCCTGCACATCACCTAATGGAAAATACCTGACAAAAAAAGAGCTCAAACCCTTCAGAAATCTTTCAGAAAAAGCTAAAATAGAAGCTACAGCTCTTCTTTAGCTCTTTTAGTAGGTATTAACATTTCCTGTTTTGTGTGCTGAGCAGCAGAGCTCCCAAGAGGCACAACTGAGTGGCAAGGGCACAATGCAGCTCTCAGACCAGGCTGTCCTCTATGCTTTGGCCATAGTTTCCAAAAGTATCTGTTCTGAAGTAAAGGAGTACCTAGCCAACACAAATAGGCTAAATACAATAGGAAATAAGATAGTCCTAGGGACTGGTGCAGGGCAATGTGCTACAAAAACTGGAAGACCTTACATTTGGTCACCATCCATGTTCACGCACCTTGCTCAGACCTTCAGGCTGAGGCAGGCAGGTAGCATCCGGCCATCAGGGGTATCTCACGCTGGACATCTGCAAATCAAGAGACTTAAGAGTTGCCAGGCATTCTGGACCACCCTGACTCTTGTCTGAATCGGCACCAATATTTCCTGATAACATAGACCCAGCGGGGTTAGAGCTATATGGCATGTATGGCACGAGTGCACAGGAAGTGCCCTTCAGGCTCAGACCATCCACTCGGCATCCCGTGGCCAGCAACAGGGGCTGTTTTACAAGGAGGAAGAGAACAGGCCATGCTGTGGTTCAGGGACTTCCTGAGCTAGAGGTTTGCATTGAGTTTATCAGGTGAAAAGCCACCAGAGCATGTCATCCATGAATTTGATTAATACCTCTTTGAACGCAGTTATACTTTCAGGCTCCGTAATGCCCTCTGGCAATGATTGCCGCTATTTAATCACGAGCTGTGGAAGAGTTTCCTCTAAAGCTTCTACCTGATCCTTTCATTTAAGCGGTCGCTTGTCCTCATAGTGATAAATATGGCTCACAAAGCTGAGCAGAAGGGGTTATACTGCTCTAGTTCTCAAAATCAGTGGGGTCTTACAGAGGCAGGATAAAAGTCTGGTAACAATTCCAGGTGGGATTTTCCTAAGCGCAGTTCCCACTGTAAGCCAACACTAGCCAGTGCTTTTGAAATGATCCTTATTGGCCATTTATTATATTTTTGTGAATAAGTTTCTGGCTCAAATTAGAGGTATAAGAAAACTCTAAAAAACATCTTATTTTAGGAAAAAAAATGCAGTTCTGTATTTCTTTCCAGGAGATCTGTTGCTTGTTCTGCAACATGAGACTTGAATCATGCAAGTATTTATAACAGCAATATTAGGAAATGACAATTCTGGCACCAGAAATCTATCTATCTGTGTTAGACCATATGGGTCTTTAAATAAATTGTTTATGAATATATTAACCCAATCTTGTTAATACAGGCACACATAACTATATTAAAAATGTAAATGTTTCCAGAATTGGACTTTACATGATGAACGTACAGTTCCACTTCCTTCTTAGTCAGCTTTATGGATCTATGAAAAATTAGTATAGTTTTACTTGACTGAAGTTAATAAGGTTTATGTCTGCACAGATTTACCCCAAAGATCGTCATGATCATCTGAAGTCCCACGTGACTTACAGGACTAAACTTGAAGAAATATCTCTCAGCAATTTCTGTTGATGGAGCAACTCCAGCTTTCAGAAAGCCTCCAGCCAACTGACTTCCTTTTTGTGGCACAAAATTTGCATTCATTAAAACAAGTATTTTAATGATTTATGTAGATTTATAAAAACAACAGCCCAGAAGAATGTGTCTGAACATTCCCAAAGCTTCTGACAGAGGTACAATACATTCCTCTTGGTTTGAAATACTAAAGATCAGACAGTTCACACAAAAATCATTGTAGGTATATTTGCAAGTGTTAACATGACCTGTAAAACCAGAGTTTCAGTCAAGTTAAAATGATCTGAGTCTACCAAACCCTAGCAGAGTAGGTAGCAGTAATGATATAATGATTATAATGTTAGTAATAATAATACTAATATGATTACCTGTCTCATTGTCGTTATTACCGTCATTGCCTTGGTAATTCTCAGCTCTAATCATGGACTGGGGCATAGATGGCCCCATCCTCTCCAAAACAATCTTTGTGCCCACAAGCAGGCCTCAGCCAAGCAAAAATCTGGTCCCTTTGCATTTCTAAAGAACAGCTGCTGGGAGTGCCAGCTACTAGCAAAGCTAAGTCATCCAATTTGGCTCAACATGACAGGGGATGGGACGAAAGGAGATGAGAGATTAGCAGAGGTAAGGAAAACTTAGGCCGGATCCTGTCAAAGAAAACCAATATGACTCACCACCGCATACAGACAGCCTAGACATTGCAGGGAGAGAGGGTTGTGCCTCCTTACTCCTCAGCATTGCCACAGCTGCGAGGATGGCTTTCTCTCTGGAGGTGGCGTATGTGGCTCTCACCAAGACAATGACCATAACCTGGCGAATACCTCTCAAATTTTTTCTTCAATGCACCTTTATATTCACTTGCATTTCGTTTTTCCCCTTCACAGGTTTGTATTGCTGAGAAGAGAAAGTGAGCCTGACGTAAACTGAGGTGTGAGAAGAGCAATTTGCAGACCCTGTAAGGCAAGACCTGGGTTTATGCAAAACCCCCAGCTCCCACCACCCTTGGTCTTGGTTACTGGCCGTCACTACCACCCTGCCTGCCCTCCCAAAGCGAGGGACGTCCTCAAGGCAGGTCTCTTTCTGTGCTTATTGTAGGCTATGTCCAAATTTTGCCAATCCTTTCTTGAGAAGAGAAAGCTCCACCTCTGCTCTCCAGCTAAACCTGTGCAAAAAGCCTTCAATTGCATGTGTTTCTACAGCTTTAGCAAATGAACTGTAGCCTTCTCCTATCTCTTTGCAAGGCTGCTACAAAGACCTTTGGGGATGAGTCCAGTCCTTCTGGGTGGATACAGATTTCTCGGGGTTCTGGATGAAGGCTCAGCCACTGTCAAAGCCAAGGTGTGTATTTCCATAGGTAGACCAGCACCTGGGGTCTTTTAAATGGAGCATAAATCAAACTTGCCTCTGGGGTAGACACCTTGAGATTTAGAAGTGAATCAGCAGAGATGGCAAGACTGACTTGCGATGCCACCGCCTGGCATCTTTTAAACATTTTTGCAGAAGACAGATCCCTCTGCAGACACCTCTGTCCTTCCTTGCCATGCCGTCTCCCTTGGACATGCTATCCTGGTTACCATTACCTCATGCAGATCTATGGGACAAGCTCCATATCTTTTCATTTCCATCACCCAAGAGATAACATATTTTGGGATACTGTAAGAAAAATCACCAAAAATGAAATAAAAGAATTGCTCTGAACCTCTGAGGATAGCCTCACCAAAGGCAGGATGGACTGAATTGTGGGTGGAGAAGTGAGCTGCTCCACATAGCCATGCCTAAAAAGGAGGGGAGGAGCAGGCAGGCATCACCATGAAGCTGGAGTCAGAGGGTCCCGAATGCAGCTTGCATGCCCTTCACTAAACAGGAAACGTGGGTTTTTCCCAGCTCTGATGCCTTTGACATACCACTTCACCTTTGTATATCTGCTGTCCTTTTCACTCTATTTATTTAAAATATAAACTATTTGAAATAGGGACTTACTCATCAGTGATTGTACAGCACCCAGTCAAAACAATGTCCCGATTTCAGTGGGTAGCTCAGAAAATTATTCATACATAATAAACCAATATTCACATTTGCCCATGGAGCCAAACAGTTCCTGTTTTTCCTGACCACAGTACACCATAACAGCAGTGTTTCTCAAATTAAATTTTTGCCTCAGAAACTCATTCAGCAGCTCCTAATTTGGCCCATTAAGTGAAAGCAAAACCTGAAAGAAGCTCATCCACCCTTAAATCTGTCCAGCACAGCAAGAAGGAAAGGACAAAAAGGCAGCACCTTCCATCTCCACACACGAGCCATCGCTGAAGAGGACGACAGCCGGCAGCAACGGCAAAGGGCATGTTCCTGCAGCAGCAGGGAAAGCCTCGGTGAGCTCCAAGGGTGGCTTTTGCTTCTGCATCAGCTTCTAGTTACCCGGGGACAAATGACCACTCTGGGGATGTGAGTACTTAAACCAACCCTGTGGCACGCGAGCGTGGTGGCGCGGGAACGCGGGATTGCGCGGGGAGCCAGCTGGCTGCGCACAGCGCTGAGACAGGTACCGCCGGGCTTGCGGCTGATGGTGGTAAGTTAAACCTCCGGGGATGCCGTCGCCTTGCCCTCCTCGCCACGGTCTGTAGCACTAGCTGGGGTTCTCCATCAACCAGGCTGTCCTGCACACTCTCAGCCTGGCTGATGGAGAACTGACTTGCAATTTTAAAGAGCTAAACATGCAGCGCCTGAATTATTTATCTTTTAACACGCAGACACAGGGCAAATTCCCAAGAGAGGTGAAGTGGCCCTTACAATAGATGCAAAGTAGGCTGCAAAAGCTGCACTGGTAGGCACACGCTATCTGCTTGGTTAAAGCCTCTCACGCACGCAGGCGTCACTTCTGCTGCGATTGCTCCTGCCCGGCTGATTAATATTCTGGAGGGTGTGGAGGGGCTGG